ATATCACACCAAAAGGACAAACAAAAATCACAGTGCAAAACTAAAGTGGCGCAGAGCATACTCAAATGCGTGCGCCGCCACTTCACTTTTGTACTGTGCCACTTGACTTCTGCACTGCGCCAGTTGATTTTGCACTGCGCCACTTGACTTTTGGCGATATTGTATGGTACGCCAATTTTGGCATCAAAATGAAACTAAACAACAATATAAATGAATAAATAAAAATCAACAACACATAATTCAATTTTTTTAAAATAATTTCACAACAACACAGCAACACAACAAAAAATCGAAGCTTGACCACGCCCACATTGCTTTCGTCTGGGAAATATGACCCCTCGTCGGGGGCATCGGAGACCTCGGCCTCCCCCCACCCCACCCCGTTGGGCAAATCCTGGCGCCACCCCTGCCTATGGCACAGTTGCCAGCCATGGCTACTAGAGACAGATTAGAAGCTTTGGTAGTGATGGGTTATTATACGAATAAACAAAATGCTGAAGAAATGGAGGTAAGCGTAAGCACCATAAAAAACCTCCGGCGTAATTTCCGATTGAGAAAGATCGATTCAATAACATACATTTTCACATTGTATTATTAAAGCTCAGATTTTCAGCATTTAATTTAATTAGACCAATAACATCTTATACAGTAATACTTTTTTTGCAAATCAAAAAATATAATGAGACAGATTTGTTTTTTCACTCAAATAGATTTCTTCATCTTTCCTGTTTACTGTTTGACAAAATGTAAACAATATATACAGACGGTTTTAAATTTTTTTTTTTATTTTTCATAAATACAATTTCAATATTTAAATGAATATTCTGTGTGATTAGACATTTACAATGATATTAATTTTATTGTAGACTTAGTGTGCGACAATTTTCTGATATTTATATATTGAAAAATAAATACTGTTTAGGCATTTTAATTATCTATATTTTATATAATGTGGCCTTTAATAATAATAATAATAATAATAGTTCATTCTTATATAGCGCAATTTACCTGTAGGCCTATAAGTTATTACAACTGTACTTTAATTGTTATCGTTACCTGTGTAAAAGTATTACAGTATTATAGTTATAGTCAACCGTGGTTGAATCTTACAAAAAGGATATATAGAGGTATTATTTTTATCTTTTATTTATTACTGTATATGTTGTTAACTCTCGTAACACTGCCAGTGGAACGTAATTTCTGGGTTTTTTAGACAATAACATTATCTTGAATCTCTTGAGTCTTGAGCCGCTGTGACCCACAAAGACCAACATTTTTTCTCTCAATCGTGATGAAAATAATTCCTATTAATGATGTCATCATCAGGAATTCCTAATGATTCCTGATGATGACATAATTAATGTCGAAATATTGAATCCCGACACGATGGCGTGCATTTCGATACTTGGAGTATGTGTACTATCTGAGATTAATCAGTGGACATTTCGGTTGATGCTATGTAAATATAGTATTCGTCTTTTTAGCACATTATTGCCTGAATCTGAGTCAATTTAATGATTTACTCTTTATTCCAGTTCCAAAGCGGCAACCAATGTTGTACGTCCACGGCTGGTGGCAGAGCGCGTCTTGGCGCTGCTACCCTCTAAATGAAAGTAAGGCTTGGCCTAGCGGTACGCGTATTTTTGGGGCCTACAAAAACCTTGAATATTTCATTCATAAACTTGTTCCATGTTAAAATAAAACGCATATGTGCAGCATCGTTCATTTGGTAGTGACACCAACAGGATGCATGAGATAATTAAGGGTCTTCCTTTTATAGACACCTATATGAGTGTCAACAAAACGAAGACCGAAGACCCGAAAAACGAAGACCCACATTTTTTTCTCTCAATCGTGATGAAATAATGAAATAGGTACTTGGCAACTGTTTTATGATGATTTTGAAATACTTTCAATAAGATAATTGAGAAATAATTGGAGGTCTTCGTTTTTCGGGTCTTCGTTTTGTAGACACCCATATAGGGCAAAAATACGAAGCTTTGGTATTGTCAGAGGTCTGGAAGCCCTGGCCTTAACAAAAAAAAATAATAAAAATAAAAATTGGTTCGTGTGGGAATCGAACACACAACCTCCAGGTTTGCTATTCATTATCCACCATCAACTAAACTGCCTTAAAGAAGAAAAAAAAGAAAAAACAAAATTGGTTTGTGTTGGAATCGAACACACAACCTCCATGTTTGCTATTCATTATCCACCATCAACTAAACTGTCTTGAAAAAAAAAACGCCTCGTGTGGGAATCGAACCCACGATCTGCAAAAAAAAAAAAAAAAAAAAAAAAAAAAAAAACTGGCTCGTGTGGGAATCGAACTCACGACCTGCAAAAAAAAAAATTAAAATAAATAAAAACATTTTAAAAAAAACTTGCCCCGTGTGGGAATCGAACCCACGATCGCTGGGTTTACTACCCCTGATCCAGCATGACTAAACAGAGGGAGGTAAACCGCGGCCCCTAAGCCATAAATGCGATAAACCTAGTACCACACCAAGTACCAGTTAGTCAACTCTGATCCTACTAGAAAAAATTCTTTGTATATATACACTGCAGGGTAATATTACCCATGGCCATGGTGTAAAAAATGGGCTGTGGGCCTAGAGGGTTTATTATTTTGTCTAAAAATGTAGAATTAAATTTATAATCGATTTTTGATTGTTACCATCTCCATAACTTACGCACTTTTTTTTAAATAGACAAAAATATTTTAAAAATTCATTATGCAAATTAGAAAAAAATAGACTAATCATGTTACGGGAAACCTGGTGGTTGTGTGTTCAATTCCCACACAAACCATTTTTTTTTTTTTTTTTAAGGCAGTTTAATTGATGGTGGATAATGAATAGCAAAACCTGGTGGTTGTGTGTTCGATTCCCACACGAACCATTTTTTTAAGGCAGTTTAGTTGATGGTGGATAATGAATAGCGACCCCTGGAGGTTGTGTGTTCGATTCTCACACGAACCAATTTTTTTTTTTTTTTTTTTACGTCGGTAAACGTTTAAAATTTACAACTTATTTTTTTTTTTTTTTTTAATGGCGGAAGTTTATAACAAAGCTTCGCATTTTTGCCGGCATAATGCCTAGACAGGATTGTTCATTCATATTGAAATTAGTGTTTTAATGGTGCTTTTTTTTCATCCAATGGGAATTCATATTCTGGTTTAATTTAATTAATTTGTTTATGTTCAAGATCAAGTTTAATTTTTATACTTATGTTCTAATTGTATGTACTGAGGGGTCCAATTGATCAGCTCAGGCTGGATGGACCACCCTCACAAAATATTGTTTAAATAAATAAATATATTTAATATAAGAAGAATCTATGAATAATCAGCTTTCCGTTTACTGGGGAATGAACAACAAGATATTTGATTGGTGAACAGCCGAAATGGCAATTTAAAGCCAACGAAGTCGCTAGAGGTAATTTTTTTTTATTTATTTTTTTTAAGGTCAGGGCCTTCAGAAGGAAGACCTATTGTCTCCCACATGGGTGTCGATCGGTGGGAGACAGGGGGGACACGTCCCCCCACTTCTCAAAGTAGGGGAACATCATATCGATTGTCGCCCCCTCCACTTTTCACCAATCTTCTATAATTAAAACCCCACTTTTTAAAAGTGTATGGAAAGAATAACAATTACGCTAGACTCATGAATTTTGCCTGTTCAATTTTCCTAGTGCTGTATGTATTTTCCGGACAAAAACTGACTAAAAACGCAATTGTTTATACATTTCGTAACCATCTCAGAAACTAGATCGATTTCATGGGTGCAGCGGTTATCAGAGGCTAAATTTATTGTGAAAACAATGTACTTAACGTTGTTAAAATTGGAAACGTGTATACTTATTAGGCCAGTGTTTTTACAAAGTGCACAATATTTAATATAAACGATTATTACTTTTGTATAATACGGTATTATGACCCGTACATATATACTAGTGTTTAATATTATCTACATACATAGGATTACTGTTTTTCATAATTTCAAAAAAAAAATTATAGTTAGTCAAACTAGGAGGAAATTTTTTTATTTTTTATATATATATGTTGTAGAACTAATTTTTCTAAGACACAAAAAAGCATATTCGACGAAAAAATCGAAAGCGGTTAGTGATATACAGATTTTTTAATATTTAAAAGCTGTAAGGAAAAGGTCCGTACTCCCTCTTTCCCCCATTTTTAAATAATCAAAAATCTGTATTTTATCAGCCGCTTCCGAGTGTTTTGTCAAAAATGCTTTTCGTGTCTTAGAAAAATCAGTTCTACAACATTACAAAAATAATTTTCCTCTGAAGCATAGCTTTAAATTTGAATATAATTTTCTTTTTTTTTCTCCATTTCTTTATAATAATAATAATAATAATAATATAAATAAAAACTGTGTTCGAGCTTTCTTAACGTGACATAGTGATACCTACTGGCATAATAATAATAATAATAATAATAATAATAATAATAATAATAATAATAAGAATAATAATAATAAAACAAGTTGTTTTATTCGGATTGCATTTAAGGCCATGAGAGGTAATGTAGTGATTAGCATAATTAATCAGCTTTTGTAAACCAGTTTTACTTAAGCTGACAAGAAGCATAGCAGAATGCATTAAATGACGAATTTGCAATAACAATACCTGTTACCATGTCATTGGTACTTAAATTAGAAACCATGTTCCTATAGAACTTCAGTTTGAAAATGAAAGGGGAGGATAAGCCACCTTGCCTTGTACCCTTACGAATAGCAAATTCTCTACCAATTTTAACACGCACAGCGACCTATGTTACCAAGAATGAAGATAACGCCACTATTCGTTAGAGATTGCTTTTTATAAAGAAGTCATAAAACAAATTATATATAAATAATGGAAAAAAAGGCACTAATTTAATTGGCGTCCCATACTTGGTTTCTTTTTTTTCCGGATTTCTTATTCGGACTCTAAATTAACTTTTTCGTTGGTGGCGCTGTCCAGAATGAGAAAAATAATAAAAAATAAGAGATTGTGGCAAGTCTACTGCTACTTGTTTGTGTGTGTATTGTGTGTGGGCCGTGTATTGTGGTTAAAAAAAGTGAAGATTTTGACCATTTTAACGTATTTCAGACTCATTGTTTGCATAATTCATAGTTTTTTTACACGTTAACTTATGATGGACGGAATCAGTAATGCATATGAGGTCTCGGGTAATTGAAATGTTTATTTATTTGTAAGAACCAGTTGTGTTTTTCGTAATATATATTTTCTAGGCCCTGGGCCTGACTGAAGTATCACGCACAAAGAGTGTTTATGCACGATTGTCGGGTCGGAATGTATTTAGCGATAGCAGATCAGAGGGCCTAGACTAGGCTTAGGTCTAGCCAGGTATGGTAGTACGTAGTAGAGAGGCAGGCCCAGTAGTAGCGAACGTTATAAGAAAACAACCCCACTCATTGACACTGGACTGCACTGTTGTTACCAAAGACAGATTTATGAGATTATAAAGCCTGTTTTTCATTTGGCCTAGCTAGGCTTATGCCTAGGTCCTAGGCGAATTTATTCACGCGAATCCAAAGCGTCGGCTTATGCACATGCGCATTCACATTCCTATCGGAGTTTTTGCGAAGCGAAAAAATGCGCAACCAATCAGAGCTTAGGAAGCGAACCGACGCTTTGATTCACGCAAACAAATTCGCCTAGTGGAAAACCAGCTTTAGTTAGGGAGCTTTCGATTTGTGCGATGATGCAACGCAAGAACGGAATCACTTGTGCATGACAGTTACCTGGCATCCTACGTTCTCTGCATAAGCCTGGTTTCCTGTCGACGTAAGAAGGCAGATTCACTTACGACTACGTCGTTTTATCGTAAGAAAATGCGATTTGACAGGAAACCGATTACGACTGGTGCGTTGTAAAATCGACGTAACGTAAACTAAAATCGTCGCAAAACAGTTTTGGACAGGAAACCGACGTATTGAATTTTCATGTGATACGTCGATTTTCCACTATTTGATGAAAATTGCTTGTTTATATGCGGCCCAACACGATCAACGCAAACGTCGTTGAAGTCGGCATTATTTCAACTTTGCGTAAGAGTCGTAAGAATCGTAAGAAACGTATGAAACGTAAGAAATTCTGATCCTTACGTCGACAGGAAACCAGGCTATACATAGATTTGGCTAAATGCATTCCAGAATCTACTCAATGGATACCAGTCAATTCGAGCGGATGTCAGTTCAAGCGAATGTCAGTTCGAGCGGATGCCAGTTCGAGCGGATGCCAGTTCGAGCGGATGCATTTAGTGTAAACTACAACAAGGGCAAATTTATCGTCGCCCTATTTTTGTATTTGTTTGTTTTAAATGCAAAAAATGCTCTGTGCACTAAAGTTCTGAAATGTTTTTGGTACTTTTTGATAATTATTCCATGTTTGAATTTCAGTCTTGGCAAATCCAACTAAAAGATGGCCGCTAGAAAGCACTTATTGTTGTAGCAGTCATTGGTTGCTATAGTGATATGATCAGTATACGTGTGCGTATTTACATTTAAAAGATGGCTGCTAGAAAGCACTTAGGCCCTATATTTTAAAACTATAGAATTTTGCACGTAGAATTCACGGTTTTTGTCTCCAGTTAGTTGAATTATATAGTGTTGTAACAGTATTGTAGATTTACGATTTAGGCCTATATTTGTAAATGGGAGTAACTGTAATTGTAATTTTTATTCACCATAGAAATTTAAATTATTTTTACGTATATGGTATCAGAAGGTGCACAAACCATTGGTGTAGTAGTGTGACACAGGGGCAGATCCAGTGTAGGGGACAGGGGGAGGCACGTGCCCCCCCCCCTTGTCATGCCACTAAATTTAAAAAATGTCAATGCATATTTTTGAATGCATTAAATCTAACCTAAAGTATAAAAATTTTCCATTTAGTGTACGATGCATGCTCTACTAATTGCTTTATAAGTCAATCGCCGTCTTTTAATTTTAGATTTTTATAACCTATTGTTGTAGCAGTCATCGGTTGCTATAGTGATATGATCAGTATACGTGTGCGTATTTACATTTAGCAGTGCGTATGCTGATTTTTACTTCTGCAGTACACGTTTAATTAACTACACATCATCAGAACAGTACGGATACGATGAATAACTATTGTGTTAGAAAGAACTTGTTTGTAATGCTATTTTGATCTTTTGTCAAAGAAATAAACAAATTTAGCATTCGAGAGAGAATACAGTCACTGACGTCATTTTTGGTCGGTGTATGCAGACAGGTAAAATCGTGCGATGATTTCATCACTAGGCTAGGCTACGGCCTAGTAGTAGTAGTAGGAGGAGGCTCTGACGGCATCCTGCCTGGCCGTAGGCCTACATCTGAATTTGTTCCTTGAGTTTTTAAAATAGGTCTAGAATATTCCTATTAAACGTTCAGTTTGTTGTGTTTATGAGGGTCCATTGATTCAATGAATTCCTTAATTGTTCATACTTAATATTGAATTTGAAGTAACTTTCTTCGGGTTCTAATTAAGCTTGTTTTATTAAAGTAATTATCAATTACAATTCAATTTTTATCGTAGTGCGCGATGTATTCACAGTGACGAAAAAATGAGGAATTTTTTTTGCACACGAACCTAAAAAAAAATCAAGCCAAGCGTCCACTAATAGAAAAATTAGTGGATGGTGGGGAATAGGCATAACATTGGGAGTTACAGTGTTGACATCACGATTGACTTACAATATTAATTTGTGAAAAACGTCTGTCCACGACATTCACCTTTGACCTTATCTGTGGCAACGTCTGTGTGCTAAATAGTTAAATTATCTAGAACAGTGCTACTACTACTAGGCCTAGGGCCTGGGTTTTGCATAGCCTATACAGTGGTGGATCCAGGAATCCCCGAGTAGAGGGCTGCAGAAAGTCATATTCACTGTCATCTACTCTAGACTATATATTATATGCAATATTAAGACATTATTACCAAATTATGAAGTTGATTTTAAAAAGGAAGTAGCATACTGTATCTTGCCACATTCTGTTTGCTGACCGATAACAAGTTTTGATAGGCTTATAGAACTTTATGGCAAATGCTAAATGTATGTGTGAACAAAGTGAACTGTTCATGGCTATAAAATGCATTACTACATTATTTTAATATATTTATATTTTGTTTGAAATATTTGTTTCAGGTTTAAGTGGTAGTCATGTTACAGAGCAGGGAGATGTAAGCCTGAGATCTGAATCAACACCATCAACATCTGGTCTGCGTAGAGGTGGCAGAGTTCGCAAGCCAATCAGAGCAGAGTCACCAGATATAGAAGAACCAGTTGCAAAGTCAAAGAAGAGGGGGCCTAAGTCACAAGGAGCTGAAAAACCAAGTATGATTAATAATAATATGATAAATATTATTATTAATCATATTATTAATAATCATAATTAGTTAATAATAATATGATAAATATAACACGGTCATAATAGAATAGAATACAGTACTAATATTAACAAATAGATTTTGAGATTGAAACTGTTTGTCACCTAATTAATGCCTTTTTATGTGATTTATTTTCAGATAAACCATTTTCTTGTGATAATTGCAAGTCACCATACATTGTGAATCCAAAACGAAGCATATCAAAGAAAGACCCAAAGAGAGCTCCAGCCCCTCGCTACAAAGTTGACCCAGAATCAGGAAAGAAACTGACACTGTGCAATGCCTGTGGTAAGGGCGACATTTGAGGCTAGTAGACCAGTAAAAGATATGTGAAAAAAAAAAAGAGTTAATGTGATCCGAGTTCCATTAGTGGCTGTGGTTTGGATGTTAAGGTGCTCGCTCACCTTGCATTCCAAAGTTCTGAGTTCAATCATGGCGAATAAGCGCCCCATTTGAATAAGCGCCCCTATCGAATAAGCGCCCCTCATAACGAGAAAATTTCCTTAAGCACCCCGTTTGAATAAGTGCCCCCTTCTAATTTGAATAAACGCCCCCTCAATAACCCAATCAATCCTGGGACTGTGGATGTTGGCATGATTTGAGGAGTGGAATAACATTCTCCTTTAGTCAATATCAGAATGATGAGAGCTCCCCGGACAGACAGTATATTTCCAGCTTTCATCTTCTTTCATTTGTCTATAGCCTAGTCCTACTACTCCTTTTCCGACAATTTGCATCTTTAACACATTCTCATCTAAGTTTTCAAGAAAACCTGCAATAGTCATGCCCTCCTCCTATTCTCAGTCGAAAAATGGCGAACAAGCTAACCACCACCACTAATTTCATCTGCTATTCTGCTGTTATTTAATACTGTACTCACAACATTCTTGTCATAACAAGCCATGCTCTCTGGACGATTATCTTTTCCGCCGCAGCACCATTCGTAATTTGCGGTTTCCTGATGTCCTTATTTAATCATTTTTCATTCAAAATGCGCCTCTTGGATTTAATAAGTTCTCATAAGAACCCCTCGATTTTCATCTATTTCCATAAGCGCCCCCTCAATTTTCACTCTATTTTTATAAGTGCCCCGTTCAAATAAGCGCCCCGTTTGAATAAGCGCCCCTCAAAAAGTGCAAAAAATATTTTAAGCGCCCAGGCGCTTATTCGTGCGAGTACGGTACATAAAAATACAGGTTTTTCTAGCAACAAAAAACAACTTGAACACTTGAAACCCTAAAAGACACTAGGTTAGAACATTGATTCTTCCAAATAATTGTCTTCACTTGATACTGTAGATCATCCTTATGGATAAAAGAAAAAAGAATTTTGAGCTCGGATTTATAATTCAATGCATGTCAAAAATATAAACATCCTGAAGTAGTGGCCTGCTAGGTAGCTATCCTGAGGTAGCTTTTATCTGGCTGTTTTATTTTTTCTTGATGAACTATAATTTTCATTGAACTAACATTTTATACTTGTGCTGGCTTTAGCAGATTTTTCCATTTTGATAAAAAATGGAGCACATTTAAAATATAGTTTCCTAACTATTTATATTGTTTCTGTTCAGGTCTACTTTTTGACCGACAAAAAAAGCGTGGTGCCAAGCCCCCGGTTGCCACAGAGGCAGATCGCAAGAAATATGCAGAGGAATGTGAAAAATTCTCGCAATCTTTGGCATGTGGGATGAATGACCCCGAAGGTAATATGAACTACTTTGCCAC